ACAGTTTAGGGCTCGAGCTTCTGTGCCCCCCCCCTAGTGACGCTACTGACTACTGTACAGTTGTAGTCTAATCAATTTTTACGATAATTTCTGTAATCACTTGTCGGTCTATTTTCATTTCAATTATTACGAATGTAAATGGTACTCTATGGACTGGAAAAATTCTTGGTACAGTTGTGTCCTTTAAATGTATTCGCATTGCAAAATAACGTATATGTTCCATCTTACCATTGAAAATGGGTTAAATTATTGAACCTACTTCTACATAATATTTTTCTTTGTCAATAGCTCGATGTTTTAGATAGGTCTGTGGACAATCCTTAGCCAAATTTCGCACATGTTTTATCGTTTGATGAGGCCTTCCTAAGTTGAAGGCTACTATCAATGGTAGTCTGAATAAAGGTACCCCATTAGTGTTTATTATTATCAAAGGTGAAATCTTTTCTCGTGATTCAATATTAACATTAACTTGTGTTTCGCTCTCAACACCTATCGGAGGGTCACCATATGCATTCAATAGACAGGTCATTTTAATCTTTGGTAGTCCAATACTTGCCTATATATCAACTATGGTTAATGACACCAGGGCACCAGTGTCAAAATAAAATTCAACATCTATTTCATTATTTTTGCAATTAGTTTTGGACCATTCTGTTACATTCGAATCTTCAATATATTATGAATAGAATCGCTCATAGGAGGGGGGGGGGTGGATTAATAAATATTTAGAGGGTTTCACCCTTAATTCAACCTGGTTTCCTTAGCCTATATATAGCTACGAGATATTTTTATAGGATAGGTGGTAAATTTAATAAAAACAATACGAAATTGGTTACCAAGATCAAAAATAAGATAGAACGATATGGATGACAATCTAGAATTAAGGAAAAGATTTTGTTAAATGAAAAGAATTAAATTGTGATACTTCTATATAAAAAGTATAAGTATATAGGAAAATAATAAGTGAAATTTGAATGCAATAAAATAAGATAAAAAAAAGTAAAAATATAAATCGCGATATATTTTATAAAACGTCATTTGATTTATTTTAATTAATATTAAAATATTATTTTTTAACATTTCCGCTATTGTTATCGCGAATTAATTTTGTCGTCGATTTGTTATCGAGTTACTTTCTTCGTCAATATGTAATCGTGCGTTAGTCATCTGGTTAATTTATTGTTTTACCGATCTTGTTTGTACGTTAATAGGCAGCATCAACATCTTTTAGTACTTGCTTCATCTTCATCTTGGTCATCCGTTAAACATTGTAGCTTGGTCGACATTGTGCGTAAACGGGCCACGAGATCACCATTATCCTAGAGCTGGCCAAGAGATAGATCATTCTTGTATGGCCCACGCGGTCACTTTTATTGGAGCTGGCTAAGTAATCACTATTATCCTTGAATGCCATATGAGATAATCTATATCTCTACATCTCACAAGAAGTCATCACTAGCTATACGGCTACATCAAGCTCACGGAAGTCCCATTAGTTTTTGTATAGGTCACCAGATTTGTGAGCCCAAATGAGATAATCCAGATCTCTACATCGCACAAAAAGTCATCACTAGCTATACGGCTACATCAAGCTCACGGAAGTCCCATTAGTTTTTGCATAGGTCCCCAGATTTGTGAGTCCAACGTTCTTTTATCTTTATGTTTAAATTAGCCAGGTTATCTTATCAGTATCCATTTACCCAATGTCCAAATTAGCCAGGTTTTTTTATCAGTAACCTTTTTCCCACATGTAAATGCCACTATATTATTAGTATAAATGATTTCAAAATATTATTCCCCATAATGTTCCAGTTTTACTAGGCTATTAATTTCCTAAAATTAATTTCATATTATCATAAATATTCATAACATAGAATAATTCCCCAAATTTAAATAAATCATTTAATAATCATATATTTATCATTCTCATTTTTAATAATTGTATTGTGAATAAACATACTTCATTCTTCTGCAATTTTATTTAATATAATCAGCATAAAAATTTTCATTTGTGCCAAAAATAAATGATTTTATTATTTTCTTACTTTTGCAAATTTGTTCATCTACCAATTTTTCTCTATCAGCACTTATAATAATTCATTCAATATCAGAACCATTAATATATTTTCCAAAATGTTTATTATCAACCACAATTTTATCTTATTTTGCAAATTCTCCATAATTTATTCCATTGACTTAATTCCGATTCGCAATTTTATCTTTATCCATATTAATTTAATGAAATTCAATACATTTATATTGCTCACACATATATCACATTTACAAAATTCATTCTTACTATGATATTTTCCAATTAATCCCTATAATCAATTCCATAAAACATTAAATAAATTGATATTACAGGTTCTTTGTCTCGTCGTCACTAATTTGATAAATGGATTAATTTAATATCACATAGTATACTTCATACAACATTCATTATACAACCATAACAATATATATATCCGGTTATCATTTTATATTAGATGCGATGCTTGTTAGTTAGTTAACCTTCACCCAATATTATATTAATATAATCATTATAAAATATATCTAATTAACGAATATAATAATTCATAATATACAAATAATATAATACGATATTTTCATTTTATCAAATGAAAAAATTACATTGTGATACTTCTATATAAAAAGCATAAGTTTATATAAGGAAAATAATAAGTCAAATTGGATTGTTATAATATAAAAAAAAGTAAATAAGTAAAGGAAGAAATGTAAATTGCGAATGTAAAATAAATAATATTAATTAAAATAAATCATAATAAATCGAATGACCAATTATAAAATTATAAAATTATATTTTTATAATTTTTATAATTTATTTAAATTTATTGTAATTATTATTTAAATATATTACAATTATTAATTTATTTATTATCAAAATATTATTTTTTAACATCTATAACAGTCTGGAACAAATGGGAAATATTTTTATTAGTTTGTATAAAATATAATAAAGTAGTAATAATTTATAATGTTAGATCTAATTTTCTTTTGGAAATTGATGATTCCTGAATTATTTTAGAATTAACTGGTGTTAATTCCCAATGAATATTTAAAAGCACCTAACCATTTAATCTATTTTAAATGATTGTGTGCATACATTTTTCGGGAAAAAGGGGGCGAAGGAGGATATTTTTATTAGCTTTAAAGGATATTAACAAAAAATGGCATATTTCTGAAGGGGAAGGGAATTTTCTATCTCACCCCCCCCCCCCCCACCCATACGCTTATGGAATCACTATATATTCTTTGATTAACAACAAATTGCATTATGACCATTTATTTTACATATTTACATGCATTTGTGGCTGGAAAAGTTTTTTTCCTATATAACTTAACCCACTTTTATAACATTTTGTTTTATTATAATCTTTATCAAATTTATTTTTATATTTGACTTTATTATACCATTTTTCAAACATATTATTGTATTTAACTTTATTATAGCAGTAACCGTATTCGTTTTAAATGGATTTTTATAATTATTATTTTCATAATCATAAATTTATCTTGTTGTCAACCTACATATATTCGCTATTTCTAGCGCACCCAGATTTGATTGCCAGATCATGAATAAATTTGAAATTCAATACAATAGTATCTCTATCAAGACCGCATATATAGCGCTAAGATCTTTTTCCAATCTAGGCTTATACATGGCAAACAAAATCTGATCACCCAAACGTTCGTCAATATAATTAAGATATTCACAACGCTTGCCAATTATTCCATTTAACTGAAAATTTAATTATAGTATCCGTTGTTTTTCTAAGACCAACAAAGTCAAGTCTAAACGCAAAGCAGTAGAAGTTGGTTTAAATATTTTAAGGCATTTTGACTTGATAATCTGGATAATATCTACGATCTATTAGTTCAATATTTTTATGCCAAAAATGTTAAAAAGATGTATTTTTATTGAGATTCAGTCTAACTAATATTTTTAAAATAAGAACTCGCTTCCCAAGTAGAAAAATTACGAGATATTGAACTCCATTATCGAATTGTTGAAATTTAACAATAGATAAGCCTGCCAGTTTTCTTTTTTATGCAAAATCTCCTCTATTTAAGGCTAAATAATTACCATTTAAGTAAAAAGTCAAAATATCCAAATAAATATTTTTTGCTGTCTCTTTACCAAAAAAAAACGAAATAGGAAACTGTAGCAGTCTAAGTAGATTAATATATTCAGAGTGTATTTTAATAACAATCAATATTTCAATAGCGTCTGAAGAAGGGGAGGGGGGGGGGTTGGCGCAGGAGTCTGAAAAATTTGAACAGCCCCCTCAAAATTAATTTTTTTTTATACCACAAAAAAAAAGGCTAGCTATAAAAAAGAGGTAATTTTAGATAATGTCATCTAAAAAAAGGTAATTTGGATAATGTTAGCTAAAAAAATAAAAGCAAGTAATTTTGAAAATAATTAAAAAAAATTTTTTTGAAGAGGCTAGTGACCGCTCCCCAACCCCTCTGAAATATAAATTTCTACATAAGATACATACAATAATAATTTTTTTAAATGTCCCTATTTGAAAATAATTTAACAATCCAAATAATTGCAGACGGATTATCTCAAGAAATGATAAATAGTAGAATTATATAAAATATATACAATTAATTATTCTGAATAATTAAAATATTTAATAAATTATTAAAATTTTTGGAATTATTTGACCTGAATAAATCTAATTATTCTTATTTATAGTATTCATTAACTTGTTGATTTCATTTTATTTTAAATAAGCTTTATATAGCTATTTATCTTAATTAAAAAGTCTTGTTAGGATAAATAATACAATTTACAATTTTTGCAAAAATATTCATATAATATATCAGTAATTTATAAATAACGACTATTAGAAATTAAGAAAATACAGATGAATTTCATAATTGAATTTAAAAAATGATGATATTTTCTAATTAATATAAATCTTTAAGATATTCAAAAATTATTAAATTTTAATTTAAAATATTTATAGTAAATTTGCATTCATTAGCTGTTTTTAATATAAGTGAGTTTTCGATGGAAAATGTTAAATTATTTCACACAGAAGTATGATATTATATAAAATAATTATAATTTATATTGTATAATAGTTAATGACTATATATGAAGGAAAGCCACCAGTATCAAAGGCACGTATGAGTCAAATAACGAAAGCTGCTTTGAAATCAATAAAAAATTATAAACATATTGTATTAGCTGTTGAAAAATTTGTTTCTAAAGTTGATTAACCATATTTTTATTTTAATGATTTTCTGCTTAGGCACCCCCGGAATATAAACTTGCAGCACTATATGTCATTGATTCTATTGTGCGTCAATCTCAACATCAATTTGGAGCTAAAAAAGATGTTTTTGGCCCTAGATTTGCTAAGAATTTATATCAAACATTTAAAAGCATTTACAAATGTGTGCCAGAAGATAAGGTATATATTTACACATATATTATGCGTATATTTACATTTTTTCAGAGCAAAGTCATTAGAGTTTTGAATCTTTGGCAAAAAAATGAAACTTTTTTTACAGATGTTATTCAGCCAATATTAGACCTAGCTAATCCTAAGTTTATAGGTTTTCTTTTAAACATTGTTTATGTCACTAATGATATTTAAGAGAAATTAACATCCAGTAAAAAATCTCAAAAAGAGTTTGCAGAAGAAGCTTTGAAAGTTGTTAATGATTTATTAACTAAATGTGGCAAGGTAAATATTTATTTTTTAAACCAATATTCAATAGTATTCAAGGATCCTCATGCTATGGGAATTAATCCACAGCATTATCAGCAACTAGAAATAATTGGTCAATATTTAAAACAACAATTAGATTGTAGTAAGCAAACATCTGATGGTGATATATCAGCAATTACAGTAGATGCAAAGGTAGTGGCACAGCTTAAAGAACTAGCTGCTCAACTTTTTGGTAAAGTTGACATAGAAGATGTTTATAAAAATGTAAGTTTTAATATGCCAAATAATTTTGTACATTATATTTAAGAGTATACAAAATGGGCAAAACAATGAAATACCATTTCCTACAACTATACCTAATTCAATCAAAGATAACACCTCAATGATTCCTGGATTTAACAAAGTTTAATAAATATATTTAGTTTTATAATGATAGATATAGCATTTTATTATTTTCCTTGTAATTAAAATTATATACAATTCAAAATACATAAGGGTTGCATAATAACTGTAATTGGAACTGGATTTATAGTCAATCCCTATAAATGAAAACCTTGGAACGATATTTCAGTCATTGCATAATTTTTTCTATAAACACCTAATAAATTTTTTTGAAAATGTTATTTTATGTATAAGTAAATTTTAAGAAAAACAAAAGGGTTAAGTAAATAGTTATAATTATTAGTTTTTAAATTAAACAAGTAAATTTTGAACATGTATTAAAAATTATGTTAAACATGACTAGAGAATTGGTTTAAAACCTTTACATAATCAAATATTTTTATATAAAATTTTATTAATCGATGAATTATTTATACATAAAGAAATTATTAGACTTTGATTATGGTGACGAAGAAGATGAAAATTTTTGTAATCAAATTAATGCCCCAGAAAAACCCACAGTTCTTAGCGAAGCTAATATAACAAAGTAATATATTATATATTATAAATATATACTTTTGCTTTAAGAACTGCACAAAATATATTGACGGATCCTGTTATCATGAATCAGATCCAGCAGCATTTCATAAAACCTTTTTCTATGGATCCACATTATGGAGACATGCACAGGCAAATTCTTGCACAACAACAAGATGAATTTGATAAGCAAATTAATGTAAACTAATCAAACACTATATATCATACTTATTATTTAAAAGTGTACATCTTCCCTGAATGATTTAAAAAATGAAAGTTACCAGCATATCCCTGGATTATCACCATCTCTTTCTTTATCGAAGGCAAATAATCACAATATGTTATATCAACCATTACTTCCCACAATTCCATCATTTTACTCAGATCAACCACTTCATAGAGATATAAAATCCCCAGAGCTGACAACAGTTACGTGAGTTACTATTAATTAATTAACTAATTATACATATCTATTTTTAGTACCAATAAAGATTATGATCTGAAATGCGAGTCAAACAATAGATTAGAATTCAGAAGTGAAAGAGATCAATTTGAAGATGTAAATCACAAACATAAGAAATCAAGCCATACCAGTAGTAGTAGTAAAAAGACATCAATATCACACCACAAAGATGAGAGAGAAAAGTCACGAACTACAGATAAAAAGTCAGTCAAAAAGTCATCATTTTCTGTTCCATTTAAATCATCTAGCATAACAGGTAATTTGTGATAATGTTTATATATGATTATTTAAAACATTCTTTGTAGTACTTTCTAGGACAATCTGGATTGGTCGTGTACCTAAAAATTGTAATGAACAAGACCTTAGGAAGGCGATGAATGATTATTCCATAACTCCTGAGACCATCAATGTACATTTATACCTAAAACCTAATACATTTACTCTGTTTTATATATAAGATGGTTCCCCCAAGAGGTTGTGCATATGTATGCTTTAAAACACGATCAGATGCCAATCGAATTCTAGATAAGATGAAAGATAGATATAAATTATTTGGAAAGACTCTACAAGTATTTTGCCATCCATTCTATCTAAAAAATTATAATATATTAAGATGGATTGGTCTCCATTCGTAGGATTGAAAGATAATGCCAATTACAAATTATACTGGAATATTTCTTTGGGTGTTTATTACATACCTTATGATAAAATTGATATAAATACATGTGAAAAGTTTAACGAAGGTGGCCTTGTTGATTGGGACTCAGTTCCTAAAGATTTTAAAAGTAAAGCCTTGTTCAATTTTTTTAAATCTATATTTATTCTTTAGAACAAATGGAAATACATATCACTTCTCAAAATTCAGATGTTCAGGATATAGCTATGATGCCCCCAAGTTTCAATAATTTATTCAATATGCCTTTTAAATTTTTTTAGATATGATACAAAATGATAAAAATACACAACAGCTAACAGACGGTTCTAATATACAATACATAAAAAATTATCTAAATCTTCCACCTCCATTGCCCATTGGAATGCCCTCAATTCCACTTTCTGGAATGCTCAATCCTTCCTTAAATAGTTTCATCATGTCACAACCCTTTAACAACTCAAGTTAATTTTACTATATTTGATTACACAATTATTAATTATATTTTAGTCCGTTTACCTTTACCTCCTCCTCGTTCCACATCTTTCTTGCAATTTAACAATCCAAGTTTTGATAATATAAGAATGATCCCCTTTCCTCGTCAATCATCTCTTACTATGAACACCCCAAACTCTCTATATAATTCTTCTTTTGACTCCTCTGTTGTGATGAATAATAGTAATGTTGTTACTTCTCAAAATAATATGAAAGTGGAGGAGGAAAGTGAAGATGATGACGATATCCATGATATCAATCCCTCTCTTTTACCTACCAATTTATTTTTGAAAAACCTCAAAAATCGAAATACTAACAACGAGAACAAGGTCCAAGCATCTCTACCAATGAGACCTCCTTTTAATCCATATATGGGCATGAATATGACACAACACCAGCCATCACTCTACCCTTTAATGATGCGAGCCCGTCTTATGATGTTACACCAACAACAACCTCCACCCCCTCCACCACCAGCCAATCCCATGATGAATCCATTTTTAAATCAGCCCACATTATTTCCTACTAACACTTTCCCTAATTAAAACAAATTTCTGCAACCCTTACGTAAATTTTATCATCTATTTAATTTTTATTATTATTAATTCTTTGTACATGTTTCAGTAATCACATTCAAATTATATAAATTTTAAATCATTATATATATAAAAAAGATAAATTTTGATAGATACATTTTAGATTATTATTATAAACATAAATTTCATAATTGTTTAATATTTCAGATTTTTAAAACATTTATATGAATTAGAAAAATTTCTCACACATTTTATTCTCAAATGCTTTTGTGATTCATTATTTAAGGGACGAGTGCTATTTATTAAGATACTGTTCTATAGTATAGATCAAATTTATTTTAGGTTTTTATGCGCAGAAATATATATATCTTTATACTACATTTGATAAAATTAATTGCATTTTTTGAATTTTTATGTAAATTAATATTTTGTATATTAACTCCTAAATATATAAATGTAGCCTTTAAAATATTAACCCTTCATCTATTCAATTCATAAAGATATGGCATAAAATCAGGGTTGCCAGGTAAAACATTTTAAATTGAGAAAAGATTTTTTTATGTGTACTTATTTTCAGGGCTGTGAATCCTCCTAAAAAAGGGTTTGCGTTAGGTTTTAGTGATATATCTCTGAACCAGATTCAGGGTTCGTGGTACAGAATAATAAATATTTATAAAATTTAGTAAAAATAACAGAAACATCAGTTTTTTATAAACTTTATTTTACTATATTTGGCCTTACTCTAAAAAATTTGTCATTATAATTAGAATATAAGCGAATTATGATATATTCCAAAATTGAGATGTTAAAATTAAAATATTTATTTTTTATGTTTATTTCGACAATGAATTGCAAATTAAAATTAATAAAGCCAATTTACCTTGTGATTATTTTTTTCTTTGCTCTCTCCTTTAATTTAATAATACAACCAACAAAATTAAATATTCCTAAAATATAAATTATTATTATCTGAAAGAACTTACAAAATATGCTGGTAAAATTTTAAAATTTTTACATAAAATGTAGTACTCTAAAATATAATAAAAAGGATTCCACACAAAATAATTTTCACCAAAAAGGTTGTATATTGAAAATAAAAATAAATTTACTTATTTTTTTAAAATTTGATTTATTATCTTTTTTTAAATGTTATGTTAAATATATTTTTTAAAATAATAAAAATTTATTTAAAAAAAACTAAATTTTAAAAAGGTTCAGGTTTGGGCTTAGTAAAATATTGAGGTTCTGGTCAGAGACCTTCAATGGACTTAATTTTTTAGTTCCAGCCAGGCCTACAGTAAAAATTTTTGTCCATATCTAATATTAAAAAAATTCCCAAGCCCATAATAAGTTTTGAAAAATTTTTCCAAGCCTGGCCTAAACTCATATCCAAAAGTTTAATTTATAGAATTAGTATTTAATAATAATAAACAATATTTAAGTATATTTAGGCAATCATTTTGTTTACAATACTGAAATTTATTATTAGAAGAAGAAAAAATGGCAATATTTCTTAAGTTAGCAGCTGTTTTAAATAAGCTAAATTTAAATTAAATAATTTTTTATACATACTCAATTAAAAGTTCTAAAAACCCAAGCCCGGCCTAGACCCGCTAGAAAATATGATATTTTTGAGGGTTAACCCAGCCCATGAAGGTCTCTGATTGGGGTTCACAGCCTGCTTATTTTATATAATATCTTTATGATTTTATTTGGATAGTTTTATAAATTGCCGTACTCGAATAAGGTAAATTAAAAAAATTGTTTATTCTTCATAAAAATAATTATAACTATATTATATATGTGTTTTACATGAATTAATTAGTGTATTTTATAATAACATTAGTATATCGTTCCGTTTTCAATTTCGTTTAAAAAAGTAGTACCCAATATTGGGATATTCCAATTTTTATATTGTGTTTTTTAAAATAAAATAATTAATATTTTAATCGTTTAACTAAAATTAAATTTTTCTTCATTTCAACTTTAAAATTAATTAATCTGATTAGGTATATATTTTTTATGACATTCGAATTTTATAAAAAATGTTTTAATAAGTAGATTATACTTGTTTCTATGTATGTATTTTTAAAGTAAAAAAAATAATCATATTTCACAGAATATTCTGGATTAGTTGTTTTTTTCAATTTCATGGTTTCTTAATTTATAAATAATCCTTATAATAACTTTTTATCAAAGCCTATTACTAATATAACCGTTAATATATTTGTGTTAATTTTCAAAATAATAATCAGAAAAAACAGTAAATTTTGTTCAAAATCTCGAAATGGGATTTAAAAAAACGAGAAGGTTGAAAAATATAAGCGATCCATTTTATATAGAAAGCTCTAGGATTGGCTATTAGTTCTTGATGTTCAAGATCTGATTAGGAGTCTCCTTAAAATCAGTGATGCTAATGTCGACTTGGCTTAAATTCTATTTGAGTTTTCAGTCGTAACTCACTTCAAATTGAGCAGCTCAATGTTTTTTAAATATTTACCTAGTGAAGAATAATAGCAGATTGAACACGGCTCATTGATGCGCTCAATTTAAAGTCGTATTTTACAACTCCAACTCGAGTTCAGAGTCAAGTACTCAAAATAAGGGAACTACAAAAACAATTGAAATTAGATTATATATTTATTGATATATGAATGTATAATTATTTTATATGAAGTCTAAATAAAATAAAATTCCCCTATTTTCCTCTAATTCTAGTTTCCCGGTAAATTAATAGCCTAATTTTGACTTTTATTGTTAAAAGAATAATCTAAGAAATATTTTTAATTTAAAAAATGTTTTTTTTATATAAAAGTGTGAATCATCGAGATTTGTGAGATGATACTCTTAACCTTAACTTGTCTATTGATGGGGAGGAAGTATTATCTAAAAAATATCTTATAAAAACATGCTGAATTTTTTTTAAAGATTCATAAATTGTTTGATTTTATCTTTAAAAATTATTAAAAGGAGTGGGGAGGCTTGTTGACTAAAATCCTCATATTGCAGATCTCTAATAAGGATTAAAGGTTAGAGAAATATTTCAGTAAAAATTTTCTAAACAGTGAATTCGCAAGGAATCAAAATATAAATAGCAACTAAAGATTAGATAAAAATAAAAATATTTCCCTCATTAGTGATGGGTGGGCAAAAAAAGAGAATGCATTATAAATTTTACCATAGCAACCCCAAGCCCCATATTCTACAAATAAATTGACAATATATGAATTTTTTAAAATAATTGAAGAAATAGGAAACACAAAGATTAACACCATAATAACTCATAATGCAAGTAATTTAAAGAAGCATGGACACTTGTAAGAAATAAATAAATATCTAAGTATCGAATGCATTTGAAGTGCAGTTCATGGAATAAATTTGCTTTTAAAATATTCTCAGTTAAAATTTTAGTCAAGGGCCAAAAGTATTACAAAATATGTAAAATTCAACATTCTATTATCAACATTTAAGAGAAAACAACTATTAGAGATAAAAATAGGATTGTTTCCTTAAAGTTTCATAGGCTAACTCGTTGGAGTTTTGATTAATAGCCTGTAAAAAAAGAAGTATCTTGCAGGAAATAGCGTTTCCACATCAATTCGGCGCGTATCTAATACAGCTGCAATTTATTATAAATTTATTAGTATAAAAAAAGAATGATTAAATAGAAGTCATTTTGAATGTTAGTCCTATTATTTATTTATATTTTTTTTACAAAAATCTCAATTTTATTTACTAAATGTGTAATATCAATAAAAAATTTAATAAAATAAACAACCTATATTTATACCGATTTCTTTGGTGCGCCAATTTACTATATTATAAGGTATTTTGATTAGTAGCCAATATTATATAACCCTAAAGATTTTGTGCATAGAAGATAGAAAGAAAAAAAGGAAAGGTTTGGACCTCTATCTCGAATCTTACATATTATTTTGGCTAAAATCTAAATCGACCGTTTTCAAAAATATGCCCAAATCGGCCCGAAGAATTAATGCGCATTATTCATTTATATTATAGGAATTGAAATTATAAATACACTAATTGAGAATAAAATTATAAAAGTTTAAAAAAACAATATACTTCCCTGATAAATATAAGAATAACCAAAATTATGCCAAATCTTAAATCCCCTTTTCCCGTCTAATTTTAGATAATAAGAAAAATAAATAAAATTATAAAAGTTTAAAAAAAATATATACCCCTGAAAACACCTCAAAAAATTATAAGCATTGCAATAGCAGGGGGTTCCCCATTCATTCATGCTGACCCACTCATTGCGTCAATAAAACTAACCATTCAGCGGGCTAGATCGCTTAGAGGTTCTCCTTTACCTAACTCGAAGAACAGTTATGATTTCGATTTATCCGATATCTATAAAGTAACATGTTCGGGGTTGCCATTCCTTCAATATGATAGTAAGCATTTGCTAGGAATTGCCAAGAATTTTTATATTCGCCACCGCCCAAAACCTTACATTGATGGCGGAAAGCAGAAATTGGTATGCAGATGGCACGTTTAAGACAACCCCCTTAATTTTTCACACCCTCTATATCCTATAAACGGTTGCCACAATTTTTACGCTATTACTGAATAAAACCCAGATTACATATGTAAGGATTTTGGATGAGATAAAAAGTTTACAAAATAATCTAAATTCTATGTCGGTAATGATCGATTTTGAGCTGGTGGAAATAAATGCCTTTACTCATTTCCAACAATAACTGTAAGAGGGTGTTTTTTCACATGACCCAAGCGATTCGGAGACACATACAAAGTCATAGCGAGTTGCTAGCATATTTATAGATGGAGATACAGGAAATGAATGGTCAATAAAAATTAGACAAATCATCTCTCTTGCATTTGTTCCCATGGAAGACGTATTTGATTTTGATGCCTTTTATGGACTTTTACAAACACCTTTTATCAATATAATGAAAGAGTCTTAGATAATCTTATTATATACTAATACTATGAAGCGAATTGGATTGGTAAAATTCTTCGTGAGATAGAGAAGCACCAAGGTTTCCAATTCCCCTTTGGAATCAATATGTTTCTACATTGGAGGGAAACCCAAAAACAAATAATGTGCAGTTGAAGGTAATTTTAAAAAAAAATTGTTATCTTTTGATCATTAATACACATCATTTTTTATAATTTACTTTGCAATTATTTTTTAAATGTTGACACAGAACATTCTCATCTCAGCTATCATCGCACCATCCCTCTATTTGGAAGTTTTTAGATGCCTTACGTTTAGAACATTCGTCAATCCAAAAATAACAATATATTTCTGGTACGCAACCCCCGAGAT